ACGGCGGTGCGGTGCGGCGGCCGGCGCGCGGCGCGGCGAGCTTGGGGTCGCCATGACGACGCGACTGTTTATACGTGGCGCGGGATTCCGGCCGCCCCTGCCCTGCGCCGCTCGGGCGGGGGCAGGGGCGGTGTTCTCCCCACCCCCCACCCGGCGCGCGCGTCCCCGCGCACTTACAAAATTTAAAACGCCGCCGCTTAGGCTTTGGTGGCTTCTCCAAAGCGCCGGTTACAAATATTCTACCAGCGCCCGCCGCCCTCCGACGCCCACTCGCTCCCTCCTCGCACCGTCGCCTGCGCCACCTTACTACCCCCGATGCCCCCTGTGACCTGACCCATTGCGGTGAGCCGTAGGCGGATAGTGCTTACCGCACGACCTCGGCCGGTGACTCCCCCGTGGGAGGCCACCCCTCCCTGGTGCCGTGGTGGAGCCCCCGGTTATGTGCCTGCCATCTTCCCAAGTGTTTCCTGCGTCTCCACTGCGCGGTCTCCGCTTTGTAATTGTTTTCGCGAGACGAAATATGCGCTCATTTTCCTTGTAAGTTGTGAACCTCATTCTTTTCAGTCTTCGGTCATTCGTCTTTCTCAATCTTCTATGTCGTTGTCCCTTTTTTGTTTTATTCTCATTTCTTTTGAACGGCCCATTTATCTATCCTACACTATTCAGCGGGTCGGTCGCCGGCTGGTTCTGTGACCGGGAGGTCGAAGGTTTAGAGTCCCGACGGTGCTATGAACACCAATATTTTCACCGTCTCTTCTTCCAACCCTTTCCGTCCCTCCATGTCCCTCCGACGCTTTATCATCGTCTTTACTTTACACTTCCCGGCTCGTGGTACCGCACACATCGCCGCACTTCTGTCGGTTTTATAGTGCGAGAACACAGCGCAGCACACTTCAATTCTCTCGGGAAACTGAAGCTGAGCTGATTTGCAAAACCTGTTAACAAGCATTTTACAAGATATCCTTTCAAAAACTGGTTATTTTTTCTACACGGTCGATGATTTCCTTCTCCTCTCATAGTGAAACTGTTTCTGCTGGCAAAAATAATTTATATCGGCCGTTTGGATAAAGTTTACGTGAAAGAGTTTTTAGTATAAATCAAACACCTTATGTATAACTTCTCAAAAGACGATTCTAGCTTCCGCCACAATGAAACCTCAGAAAGCGACACGTATACTGAGGATACGAATAAAAACTAAGTCAATTAATTTAACATTTTTCCTTCTTTATCTTTCAGCATTTGGTATATTCTCAACATCATCCCTTCCCATGATTCAGTAAACATCTCTTCGTAAATCCGACCCCTTTCCAAGGCATCAAAGGTTCCTACCGTAAAAAAATTCACTTTTCCATTTTAGTAGGCGCCGCGAATGCTTCGCTTCTTGATGCGATTCACGCGTTCGTTTGACGAACCGTTCGCAGAAATAGCAACCGCCGCAATGCGTACAGCTTCTCTGTCAGAGCGTAAGGCTTCCGCGCGGCCGAGTCCAGTATTTACTAGGTCTGTCTAGGCACCTTCGCCGATGGACGCGGCGTTACCGGACAGCCTAGTAAAAGTAGCCCTTTCAGCCCCAGGAAGCCGCAGTGCGCAAGGCGCGCGTTCGCCGATATCGAAATCCGTTCCGTGAAACGGCAAGCGTTAATGGGGTCTTGGCCACGCTACCGCATGCCCGCGTCTTCACTCGCCACGACGCCTCCCCAGCCATCGCCCACCACTCCTGCGCTTCGACTCCTCTCGAGAGAATTCTTAATAAATGCATACATCTGAATCATTTGGACAAAGAAAACACGTGCGCAATGCACTTTTTTTAAATTAAGAATTACTTGAGCAGCAGTTACTAAAGGAAGTGACTCCTGTCCAGCAACCTCTTTAAATGTTTGGCGGCGGCGGCGTTCCGGGAAGATGGCTGGGAGGCGGCTGGAGTGAGAGACCCAAGACGGAGGTGCGGAAGAGAATGAACGTATGCCCGGAAAGAATGGACTTGCTCCTTTTTTTCTCTTTCTTTGGGCCTTCTCGCCCATTATACAGAAATAACTTTCAACGGTGAGACAAGAGATGGATGCTTGGTCGCTAATGACCTTGATGTTTATGCGACCTTTGTAAATGAAGCATATTTAAAAAAAAAAAGAGAGACGGATAACATCGCACAGTCATTTCGAGTGCGGTCTCCTGGGCGGGCTAGAGGAGATGAGACCAGAAGATTTTAGAGTTTTCTTTTCTAAGTTGATTCGTCGGTTCTATACTTCCACAATATCGCCTGAATATAGGTGTTGTGGTAAGATATCTTTGGCATTTTTAAAATAATTAAAGATGTTGTCATTGCCAACAATGTTTTTTAATTCAATAGCAGCTTTCGATGGCTACAAAACGACTACGTTTTGTGGCTTCCATCTAGCAGACAACTGATGATGATGGCTAAGCCATCGAAAGCTGCTATTGAATTAAAAAACATTGTTGGCAATGACAACATCTTTAATTATTATATCGCCTGAAACTTTGTTGGCGTGTATGGTGGGTTGCAGAACCTCCAGGCGACATGCCAAAAAATGTTCAGTTCTAAGTTCTGAAGGTGACAACGAAGACTCTTGGCTATAAAGAATTAAATATTCACCAGTCCTCACCAATTTTGCCTTTTTTTAAAAAAAATCTTACAGAACTTCACCTTCTTCCTTCTACTATTTTCATTTCTTGTATGTGATGGTATGTTTGTTTTTTTTATAAAAACAATCTGCAATTATCATGAATTTTTATCGATTTTCTTTCTAATCGTCAAAATAATCATTTAATATTTTTAATTTTTTGCTAAAGTTCATGTTCATTACTCAATTGTCATTGATGTTAATAAATATTCATCTCACAAGTTTACGTAATTAAGCTGATGCCACTAAATGTATCACCGGCACTAAATGTATCACAGTGGATCATTCATTCCCTCTCCTACTTTCTCACCCTTACTTACGCATGAAGAAAAGCATTGCACTCGAGCGCCGGAACCACTCCGCGAGTTGTGTTGGAATCCTGTCGAAATGGTTTTGAGAGGATGTATCTTTTAGTAAGATGTATATCTTTCGAGATCGTTATTGTATACTATGTTATTAATTTGTATAAGGGTGTATTTATAGTGTTGTTGTCTTTATGTTGTACACCAGCTCTGAGGATGGAATAAAAATAGTCCAAAAACGTCGGGAAACTAATTTTGTAATATTTCTACCTCATTCCGACCAAATCCCGTGAACTGCAGTTCATATTTCTACTTCATGCTCGTGAATTCCACAGTGGTTCCCAATAATGCGAGAAAGTACGTGTTGTAGAGCCTCCATTTTTGTGTTAAATTATTTAATTGACTCCTTCTCCATTCATATATTTTCATTTGTACTAATGCTACGATCTCATCTTTTCTCCCTCTAACATACAATCGCTCTTCGTTCTACTAACGATTTTACGTTTTATTTTCGTCCTTCATTCCACAAATTAATTGCACGAAAGCATTTTCTCCACTGTTGTAAATAGATGAAAGCACAATCTCACTGCTGCTGTGCGTGTTACAGGATCACCGTCTTCTCAAACGGCTCGCTGCACATCAGTGACGTCGGCCCGGAGGACGAGGGCCTCTACACGTGCGTCGGTGCCAAGGGACAGGAGTCGCAGAGCTACGCGGCTGAGCTACGGATTGCCTGTGAGTATTGCCTCATAACTGTAGAAGATGTCGTAACCAATACACCGGAGGAGTACTTCAGATGGAAAAAGACACTGCCGCTTCTTCTCTGTTAGATGAACATTTTTTTCTAAAGTATTTTTGCTGAGAAGCGCTTCGTTTCTGCTTAGCAGTGTCTTAACGAAGGCTGTGCATTAAGCGAGTCGATTCTCGGGGGATTATTGAAATTTTTGCCGAAGAAAAATCTACGTTTTTCGGACGCAAACGACGAAAAATTATCGTTTTTCATTTGACATTTTCAGTTGTGTGTGTGTTGTGTGTGAATGTGGTGTGTTGTGTGTGTAGTGTATGTGTTTTTTTGTCTGCAATTACTCATCCCATATATCAGGATTGTTAAGGTCGCGGGCGAGGTAACCAGGAGTAGTGTACTCGAGGTCGCAGGGAGTTCGTCCAGTAAGGATTGGATACCTGGCTCATGATTTTTGAAGAAGTCATTTGTCAGTTATTGCCCCAAATGTACTTATACTAATTCTCATTTCCTATACTAAAGGAAAGAAATAATCCGTTAAAATGTAATATAACACCAATCTGATTTCAAATTGCCAATCACGAATAAAATTAAACAATTTAAATCAAAAGTGTCTAGCTTTTGCAATGGTGTTTAATTTACACGATTACAAATAATTGCATAATTTCCTACGTTCCTATTATAAGTTTAACAGGCTGGTATTCTGATCTGTTAAATCAGCTCTCCGCCCATAAGGGAGAATTGTTAACTTAGAGAAAATTGTTAATTTATTTCACAGTATTTCTCTACAACAAATAACTGAATAATTTAATAAAACGCGTCACAAAAAGGAAAGAAGGAAAAAATGCAACCCTAAAACATATTTCTGCATCATGTCAAAAATGTTTATAAAAAGCAGAATTTAGAAATAAAATCAACGTAATAAATAGTGAATAACAAACATAATTCAAATCTCGGGTGCTTGATAGAACAAAGGCAAACATATTTTCGTATGTAGCCACTATTTATCTCGCGCCGCTACAGCTTGCGCGAGTACACCCGTTTCTGGGTTTGGAGGGGAAGTGAGAGCGGAGTGAGGGGTTACCCGTGCTTGCACGAGCGTCGTACTTTCCAGGCAGGAAGTTGTTCGTGCGGGCGCCGTTTGACATGCTTGTTGTATATGATGGATAATGTACCTACCGGGTGTAGGAGAATCAAGAGACAAAATATTTTCGTCGTAAAATAAGAGGTCCATCCCTATGTCCACCCATTCATAGATACAAAAGAAATCCAGTGTTTAGTGAACTCTGCAGGAGTGACGGTCGTTCAATTTCACAGAACGTTACCGACAACACAGCAAATTTTCTCGATTCCTTTGCGCCCATTTACGACTGACTCCGGTTGTTCCGGTCCCGACGGTTTGTTCGAATGGGCTATCGATTCCACTGATTGGTTCTATTGCATTTGGCGTTAAGTAACCAACCAATCCAGTTTTAAAAGTCTACTTCACAATAGGCTTAGCGACTCAGGTGTGTTCTATTTCAACTTCACTTAATTTCTAAATTCTGCCCTTTATAAACATTTTGGCATGGGTCTGGAATATGTTTCAGTGGCGCATTGTTTCCTTTTTTTCGTTTTGTGACATGTTTTATTAAATCATTCAGTTATTTGTTGTAGAGCAATACTGTGCAATAAATTAACAAGTTTCTCTAAGTTAACAATACTCCCTTATGGGCGGAGAGCTTATTTAACAGAATACATTCGCGATGACGAAATATATTTACGCAATAAATGAATGGGAAATGAAATCACACTTGCGAAATTAAATTTTAACTAATTTTTTGAAAAGTAATTTATTTTTGTGCAGGCGTAAAACACGACAGAAAATCAAATGTATTTTACTTTAAACTCAGCCTTCTCAAACTATTTTCAACAAACTGTATGCATGTAATTAGCATTTTAAATAAATATCCTATTGTACTGAACCAACTGTCGTAACATCTCCATAGAACTTTAATTGCGTTCGCCTGACCCCTTGCGGAATTTCTTCGAACTGTAGGGTTCTGTGGTGGGGGGGGTCATGTTTTTGACGGAGAGCAATGTAAAAGCGCTCCACTTGCGGTTGCCGCGCTGGAGCGTGTGTGTGTGTGTGCGCGTGCCCTCAGACCTGGAGGCGCTGACGGCGGAGTCGCTGGAGCCGGCGCTGGGCGCGAGCGGCGCGCGCGTGGTGGCGGAGCGCGCGCCCTTCGAGGCCACGTGCCTGGCGCCGCGCGGCGACCCGCCCCCGCGCGTGTGGTGGCGCGACCCGCGCAACCGCACCGTCACCGACGCCGGCGCCGTGCGCGTCGACGACGGCCGCCTGCTGGTGGAGGCCGCGAGCGCGCGCGACCACGCCGGCGCCTACACCTGCGTCGCCGACAACCTCGCCGGCAGCCGCGAGATCGCGCTCACGCTCGTCGTCGCCAGTGAGTCGCTGCAATGCGCTGCGCTGCAATGCAATGCGCTGCGCTGCAATGCGCTGCGCTGCGCTGCAATGCGCTGCAATGCGCTGCGCTGCAATGCGCTGCGCTGCAATGCGCTGCGCTGTAATGCGCTGCAATGCGCTGCGCTGCGCTGTAATGCGCTGCGCAGCAATGCGCTGGGCTGCAATGCGCTAGGCTGCAATGCGCCCGAGCGGGGTGGGGGGGCGGCTCTTGCGCATCGTAATCCCGATTGCAGACGAAGAGCGTTTGTGCGCCCTTCAACGTTGCAGCACGATCCTTCTTCTGCGCATGCTCAGTTCACACATTTTCGCATCACCTTAGAGCATCTGCGCATGCGCAGAAGATCGATAGTGCCATCCGCTACACTAGGATTTATTTAACCGTGCACTTGACTGAGCATCAGCTGTTCACGGTTTCACCCAACCGGGAGCTTGGACGTCCCCTTAGTGACGTCACTGTAGCAACGTGTAAGCTCCCGCTTGGATGAAACCGCAACAGCTAATTTACGTCAAGTGCGCGTCTAAATAAATCGTACTATATGGCGTGCACAAACTCCCTAATGAGCTTCAGATACCAGTTTGCGTCACAATATTTGCGGGAATTTTAACTGCAGCCAGATACCAAAATTATCGCCTTGTTACAACACATTGAAACAGATTTATGGAGCATTTATTTTAATTGTTGCATCTTGTACATGTTCATCGTGTTATTTTTGGTTGGTGACCATCGAAAATTGTCACTTTGTACTACTGTCAAATTTTTTCTTAACACTGCTCACTTTCCGTGCAACATGGCGGCCAACGTCTGCAATGCTAGATACGGTCGCGATCATGCGACATCTAGCAGCTCGACCGAGAAACATACCAAATACAGTGAATTAATGCCACCTTGAAATAGGGCCTTGAAGGACAGACCTATAAAAAACGCACTTCAGTCCGAAACTGTAATCAACTAGAGGCACCGCCAAAATACCTATTGCAAAGTTTGCCAAAGAAATGTCTCCCGCTTTGAGTAGTAAATTCGTGATGCCACGTGTGAGCCATTTCGGGAGTTCCTTTGGGTTTTCTGAAATGTGATTACACATTTGCTAAATGAGAATGTAATGCCTTAATTTCTTAATCCAATAATTCTTAATCTTTTGAATTCAGGATATTTCTAGTTTCCCATGTTCTTAATTGCGTGGAAGATGTCATATTTCGAGAATTAGTGAACATGCTCCACTGTTCCCCCTAGTTCATCGGCGGCATCAACTTCAGATTGAAGCCAAGATGCGTTTTTGTTTTAGGGTCTGCATTCTTTCCAAAGGATTACAAAAAATATTTCGACATCTTTTCAAGTAGGGCCGCATGGCCATATTGTTTTGGAGTCAGATTGCGATAGAATCTCTTTGCGTCTGTTTCAAACAACCGATTCTATTCTTCACGGAAACTTACTCATTGCTTGTAGCGTTTAATGCGTTGAACCCTTGCTGTGATTTTCTCTTTTAGCATCTAAGCGACATCTAGTCTTGTTGTATCATTCTGAATTTGATATTTTTATTCAACATGGAGTATTTTCGTTGAACTTTAGAGGTGTGAGTTGATTGAGAACATGCCTCGGCTATGAGTGATATTCCACGCCGAGTGTCGGCTATCATTTCATAATTCTTTTCGCCCATTGTGGTGCTGAGCTGGTTACTCTATTTGGCTGTCAGTTGTCGATGTTCTTAGCTGGCCCCAAAATTATCTGAGATACCAGAGATCCAGTTGCAAACACGATGTGATTGATTTCAGTAATGTCTAAATCTCTACCTGATGTCTGTACCACCTCCTTTAAGACAGAATTCGCTGTCTATATCTTAGCAGTAGAATTTGCCACATTCTCCTTAACGGTGCACGAGATGCAGAAGGAAGTACACGAACTGTTTCTATCTCGCTTCGAAGGAGATTTCGCGTCATGTCCGTATTGTGTGATTCATAACGAGATGAATTTTCACCACTGACGAATACTTCATTGTATAGAAATGAACCTTCGACAGGGCCATCATTTTCAGGTATATTTGATGGTTCTAAATGTTCGCCATGTGCATAGTTGGATCGAAGAACATACTCCGCATTTCCCTGAAAGCAAGTTGTTCTGCTGTGAATTTTCCTCTGTTGAGTATGAAGCGTCATTGATTGGCAAGCTTCTTTGAATCTAGGGTAGGTCTAATACCTGCGTTTCGCTATTTTCGTATCTTGAAAACTTCCATTTCTGAGCCCCAAATTTTCGCTTTTGCATAGTAAAAGCACTGCATCACCTCCCGTCTCCATCTCTGACGATGGCTTCTAGCTTCTTCCGACTCTGGGTCCGTAGGACTACACGTGGAATGGCCAGACGTCGAGGTGCCTTTAGCTCGGTTTCTGGGCAGGTTTAGGACATAGGTAGGACAAGGCACGTCAAGATTCATCGCATTTCTTTTTCTATCCATTTTACTAATTGGTTTTAAGAGAAATTGTGTGGGTTATTTCTTGTCATTCGTTACTGCAACCCACAGTGGCCTCGGGACAACCCCCAGCAAGGAGTCCCACCGATCGCCAGTCGGCTTTGCTAAACCCTACGGGATTTTCACTGACTGCTGAAGGCAGCCTCCTTCGCTGGCAAATGCAAGATTCGACACTAATCATGGCCTGGTGTGCCAACCCAGAATTTCTCTCAGAACCCTTTATAGCCGATAACAGGAACTCCAAAGGTTCATGATCCTTCCTCTACCTCGCTGAGGTTTAGCACGGAGACTGACGCTGCGGTGAAGTGTTCGAAGGATCTCTTCCGCCGTCTTTATCAAACCACCTATCTTTTTCTTCTTCTTCTTCTCCTTCCCCTTCTTTTTCTCCTTCTTCTTCTTCTTCTTCAAGATGCCTTTAGAAGTAGCAAGGCTACAGCTGACTTAGCTCTGAGGCTCATGGGGGTACGCAAGCTCCACCACTAACTACAAGGCTGTGTTCTTCCTAAGTGGAGTTGTTGTTATTATTATTGTTATTATTATTATTATTGTTATTATTATTGTTATTGTTGTTATTGTTATTATTGTTATTATTATTATTATTATTATTATTATTATTATGTTTTAATTACTATAGTTTTGTAATTTATATCACTTTACAGCTCAACCTCGTATAATAAATCCACCTACACAAGATCCACCATCCGGAGCTGTTTATGAAGAGGCAAAAGCTGTGTTTCACTGTGAATATGAAGCTATGGAACCACCAATCTCCACTGTAGAATGGTTGAAAGATGGAATTTTAATATCTGAAGACCGCCATCGTTTCAAAATTCAGAGAGGAAAATCAAATTCCACCTTGGTTATCAATGCTGTCACTATGAGTGATGAAGGAGTCTATGCCTGTCAAGTGAATACAATAGGATTTGCTCCTGTAGTCAGTGAAAATGCCTCCCTCAGTGTCAAAGGTAAGAGGAAATAATGAAGAACAAACTCAATTTTTTTAATAATCTTTTGCACACTATTTTTACAATAATAGTTTCAACAATGATGAAATTGAAGTATTGTTGTAGGTTTTGCATATCTATTATTTCTTATAGTAAATTGACTTAACACAATTCCTATTTTCTGCCATGACATGCACTTTATCATGTTGTAAAGTGCTTTATATGTACTTTTTTAGTTTATCCATTCCTCTGTGAATGATTTTGAGCAATTTATTCCAAGTTAGTACTGAAGCTGCTCAAGATAGAGATCATTCCAAAAGTGACATAAGAGATTATTAAAGAGTCCATTCACTAGTTTTTCTAATAGTTTTGTTGAGATTGATTTCATTAGTAAAAAACAAAAAGGAATTGACAAGTTGAAAATATTTCATAGAAATTCCTTTAGTACATATATGTGTTTATTTCGGTAGACAGGAACATTAGTAATTTCTAACATTTATAGATGAAACAAACATGAATAAATTTAACTATTACAGTGTTTGCACATTATACAGAAAAGTAAGAATAATATTTTACACAAGCTTGCCTTAATAATTTCTGAGTATAATCAGCGATCAAAACTTCTTAAAGTAAACGAAATGTATTTGTTAGTTCTACATTAATATATAACCCTTCCTCAAATATATTTCCTTTCATTAGAATGTTATCTACATCGTACGATTAGGCATCAGACGCAAAAATCCTTAGAATTGTCAACAGCCGTGTTATTATTATGCGAACTCACAGCGCGTCGCACGAAGCGCGAGAAATTCAAATATACAGTTTCGATTTTTTTTCTTTCTATTTTCGAAAATACAGAGAATGAGCAGAATAAGGACCCAGCACCACGTTCTTTACCGTTCTTTGCTACATACGTGAGAAAAAAATTGAAGCCGTTTCTCGGTAAATAATTTTAAAATTGCCTGTTTCTCGCAAAACTACGCAAAAAACGTATTTTGGGTAGAAAAACTCTTATTGCTGGCCCTTATAACGAAAAAGTGGATAAATTCAGTTGCAAAATTTACAAAGAAGTCCTGTAACACGTGCTGTAACCACAATCCATGTTTTGTGGGCCTTTGATACCGAAAAATCGATTGACGACAACACGTTTGTCAGTCCGTCCAGGTGTGAACAACGCTAGCGGGTAAGTTCTGCCGATTTTTTCCGGAATTGATATTCCCCAATCGATCAGGCTGATGTCACGGCCCCAGAATTTGAAATCATATTTTAAATGGACCTTTATACAAAGCCCCTGAAACATTTTCAAAATTGTGGAACAAATGGCTCCGAGTTTTTTGATTAAATTTTACTGTCAGATAGATACTTAATAGAAATGTGCATGTCCATTGAAAACTTTCTTAACCTTGAACATTTTTTAATGAAATCTTTTTTGTAAAGGTGGATTTTTAAATAAGGACATATGAAATTTTTCATAATTTTATAACATTGCAAGAAATGTAGGCAATCTTTAATTTTGTTTAAGCAATTTTTTTCTCAGAAACGGCACCAAATTTTTGGATTAAGTTTGACTGAATATTGTGAGGATGCTTGTGCTGTTTTATCACCACATGTTTCTTGCAGCATTACAATACTTTTTCTACACTGTGTAACAAAAGTTAAATAAGCTTCAACTATTATTCAGTCCTATACACCTGATCATAATCCCTTTCATAATCAGAATAATTATAAAACTTTATTCTTTCTTTAGAGCGCTTAAAATTCTCTCCAAAACCTGTGAGTAAGAAACTGGAGCTAGGAACTCCATCAACAGTGTATTGCCGTGCACAAGGATCTCATCCTCCAACCATCAAATGGTTTAAAAGTTGCCAGGTAAAATATTTTATTTGTTATTTAACTGTTTTAATGTTGTTCTATTAAAGTTTGTGCATTGAATAAAAAATTAATTTTTCAGGACACAAAACAGTGCAAAACTTCTGTTGATCTTCCTTCACACGTGCAAGACATAAATGGAACTTTGGAGTTCCGTAATGTCACCCTTGAGGACCGAGGAAACTACACATGTATGGCCACTAACAAACAAGGATCCATTTCTGCCACAATTGACATTGATGTCATTGGTAAGAGAACTGTAAATGCTTTTTCAATTATTCTGAAATAAAATAGCTTGAAAACAATTTTGAATCATAATTCACAATGTTTAACATCATTCAAATTTGATTGTCCTACCTGTAGTAGGTAGGGAAAAGGGAATTTGTTTTCTTGATGACTACTTTACTGGAGAAGTCTATGATGTTTAACATCTTTTTCAATATCAAACATTAGTTGGTGTAATGTAACAAATAAATAACTGACAAATATTTAACTTCCTGGACATTATACAATGAATAATTGGTTAAACTAAATATGTATATTTATAAAGAAAAAAGAAATGGAACTTCACTCTCTTTCCAAAATAATTGTTGTTGTTGTTTTTAATGTAAACTCCATTTTGCACAGATTGAGTAAATGCAACTTTTCAAGTTTAGAAAGGATACGCTTTCTTTTACATTTTTAGAGAAAATAAATAATAGGCCTACAAACAACGAAGGATATAGTGTAAGCTGAAACATGATTTTTCCTCAAATTCTTTTCTCATAAATTTTTAGTTTCCCTTAAACAAAGTACGGAATTTGAAAGGAATCCTTTAATGTAAAGGAATCATTTATATAAAGCTTATAAGGCTCAATTTCAATAGTGAAACAATGACTTGACAAAGACCACTTTTGCTGAACATGAATCCTAAGAATAACATTGAGGAAGTTCTCTTTTCCCATATCTTTCATTGGAACATTTCAAACATTTAATCATTAGGTGTGGAAATCTGAAATGAGGCTTCTAGAAATGGAAAACTTGCTTTCAGAGTCTTATTAATAATTTTCCAGGGGAATTAAAGCATCTGGGGGAGATAATTCATAGTATCCACACACCACACCCCTTGTTAATTCACACAGTGTGCACAGCTCATTTCTTTGATTTTTTGGCTGAACTTTCTTTTCCTACCAACTACAAAAATATTTTTTCTCAGACTTATTTTGAGCAATATTAGTTTTTTAGAATGGACATTGTATTCTATTGAGACCTGTATTGTCTGGGTTATAATATACAAACCCCTCTCTACTTACAAGAGAATGTAACATTCTGGAAGTAAGTTAAAACATACCAAGTTTAACACTCTTGATAGTTTGTATGAACAGCAATGAACTTGTTTTGTGTTTAGTACATTCCTATTTATCTTGAAAAATTTATTTCAATGATGCTAGCTACTCTTCAATGTTGAGCCAGCAGGAATATGCAAAACAACCATACCAGAGATTTAATACAAAACATCGTTTTAAATTTGTATTGTGTTAAATACATGATCAATTTGTTAATACAATCTTGCTCTCTCTTTAGTGACTCCCAAGTTCAGAGTCCCTCCCCAAAATGTGACAGCTTATGAAGGTTATCCTGTTATACTCCACTGTGCTGCAGAGGGGCTGCCTCAACCTACCATTAAGTGGGATCGTAACAGTAATCTAAGTGCTCTTCCTAGTGGGTAAGAAAACCTTAATTTTAATTTATTCCTCTGGTACTATTTTTCTTTGACTTGTGCACTTACATCTTTCTTTCCACTATGTATTCCAAACCAATCTTTCTGAATTACAAATTTATCTTTTGTTGGTACTTTTTCAGCTTTGAAGTACTCTCTAATGGATCTCTATGGTCAAGAGAAGTTCATATTTCTGATGGAGGAAAATACGGATGCACTGCTGGAAATAGTGGTGGTTTCAAGCGAGAGGAAGTAACATTAATTGTAGAAAGTGAGTTCACAGGAAACATGTGGGGTAGGCATTACAATTTCAAAATATTTGTGTCTGGTAGCCGATTAGAAGAATGTTCTGCATGATTGATGTTGTAGACATCCAACAATTTGCATGGCAAAGTATGCAAAAAGAGGTATGGTTTTGAACCTTATGTGGATGACAAAATTTCAGTGTATTGGAGAAATTCAATATGAATGGTATTTCATCTATTCTTGAGTATTTTTTCTTGTACAGTAAAACCTGTCTAAGGCGGAATGTGAATAAAGCGGAAACCTGCCTTTGCCGCAAAAATCTCTAAATGGACTATTTTCCGATGCAAAGTAGACAGATAAGCTGGAAACCTGCCTAACACAGAAACAGAAATGAAGTTTTAGTATGATGGTATTAAAAATTCTGGATAAGAAGGGAAACAAATATTGTTTTAAAATTACACATTGACTTGTAAATGTGACAACATCTTACCAGGAGTCACAAAGTGCTGTGTTCAGCCTTTTCTCAGATACCCTTGTTCGAAAGTCATATTTTTCTCACTACTCATTCAAAAGTCACACTTTATTTGAAATAGCACGTAACTTTATGAGTCTATGTAAAGGAAGCAGAGATGAAAGAGCAATCTTTCCACAGTTCTTGTAATGCGTACTTTGGGTTCAGTGGTTTTAAATGTTTACTGTTGCTCAGTTTGGCAAGTTGCAGGTGTAGTGTTAATTGAGTGTTTATAATATCAGGTAGCACTTTAAAAACTTTAACTGTTTGTGAGAAAATTAGAGTAATTGAAGAACATAGAAACACTTCTGTCAAGATTTTATTTATTTATTTATTTATTTTATATATACAACAGGCATATTTGCCCAAATGAAATCATATAATACACATAGTTGACATACATATAGAAGTTAACACAGTAAGAAATATTAAAATTAATAACTTCAACAAAAACACAGTAAGTACAATTAATGAAGTTCGAAATTAATGAAAAATAATTTTAACTAGCTAAATTCCAGTATTCTTTGTTTCAAGCATCTTACAAAACTTGCCATGTTCATACTTAATTGTTCATTGCTCAAATATTCACTGCAATATTTTGTTAAACAAGGTATTGATGAACAGTTGTAATTTTGTGTTTTGCAAATCATTTGTTAAAATAGGACATTCCTTCTTTTATTACGTGGATTATTGTAGTGAACAAATAAATTTCTCAATTCTGGGCAATGAATTTCATTATATAAAAGACTGTACAAAAATGTATTGTTCTGTAATACACTTAAAGACTGTAAAAACAATAATTTAGTTTTCAGGGAAATGTCTGAATAATCATGGGAATAAATTGAAATTGTTTTTAATCGTGAATGATGAATATCTGAAAATTCTATATCTTAAGCTAGCTCTAAATTTTTTATTGCAAAATTCACACTTGGATACCATACTACTATGCAGTACATCAATTTTGATTTCACTAATGCATTATACAAATTCACTATTTTATCAAGTTGTTTAAAGTTGATGTTTGATAAAGGAATTTAAAATTGGGAAACTCAAGTGTATGACACCACCAACAAAGGAAAAATCAAGAATGAGTGGTTAAAAGGATTTTTCTATAAATGATTGCTGCTATATTCATGAGGACAAGCAAAACGCCAAATTCTTAATCATCAGGTGAATTAATCTGTTTCACAAATATTGAAGAAAATAATAATCTACTCATACAACCTATACCATTGTTGAATGATTTAATTTTCTAAATTGACAGTTTTTATTCATTGCAAACCTGAATAAGCAGGAAATCTGTACAAGATGAAGATCTGTACATGTTGGACCCAAATGATTCCGCCTTCAACAGGTTTTACTGTTTTACTAAATCATATAAGAATAAAACCATGTAGTTAATAATATTAGTTAATAGAAAAAGTTTCTTTAACTATAATAAGTAAACTGGCAAAATCTTGAAGTACTGTTTTAATAGGTTTGTGGGAATAAAATTAATTTGATATGCTCTGGAATGACATCAAGTATCCATATTTAAAATCTCATTACAAGTTAACCTAACAGATTTAAAAGTGATTGTGAACATCTTGCATGTTTGATGTTACATCCTTAATTAGTTTTAACTTGGACATTTATTGATAACTCTTAGTATTACATTTTGATCTTACATTGTAATTTCTTTGCTTTCTGGCCTAATAGTAAGAATTTCATAATAACATGCATGCTTTTTTATAAGTAGTAGGAAATCAAAAAATAAATTCAGTAATGAAACTGATTTCTATGCTCAATGGAAAATCATTGTGAAAGTGAAATTTGTTTTTTAAAAATGAGTCTCTCTCTTTAGTCTTCATCACTTTCAAGTTCAGGAAACAAGTTTTTCTTATTGAACTTATCAAGTTTCCCAACAAATTAGTAAAAGCAAATAATTTTATATTTCAACAGGTAATGAAGGTTATCAACCTTCTGAAGGCATAGAGCAAGGTGAAACTATGATGACCAAGACAGTAGGCATCACTCTTGGAGCTGCTGCAGCATATATGGTACTTGTGGTAGGGCTGATGGCTTGGTGCAGGCATCGCCGACGCAAACGCAAACAGGCTGGTTTGGATGCTCCAGCTGCCGAAGGTACTCATGCCCTGTGTAAGTACGGGGAGCACAGGTCATTTAAATTTAAAAGAGACATTTTTCATTAATCACATTCTTATTTGTTCCCTGTTGTGGCTGACAAAATTTTTAACATCCATTAGAAAACTATATGGAATATTTACACAGCAAACTCTTTTTCACAGAAATTCTAAACAAACTTAATTTGGATTTATTCTTTTTAGTAGGTAAAGTCGAGAACGGGGATGTGATTATGACTGATCATCATGAAACAAAAGAACATCGTAAACATGAGAAAAAGGAAAAGAAAGAAAGGCCTCGCTCTGATGGTGATACTACACAATCTCAAGGTTCAAACCACAGTAAGAAATCTAAAACTGGATTGGATAGATTAAATTTTCCGAGGTCAGATCTTCATAGTTTTGTGCTTCTTGGTAAGTTTCGTAGGCTAGTAAGTTTGATAACCTAAACAAGATATTTTTGTATTATTATAAAATAATATTTTTGAAATCCTTAGTAAAAATTCTGAAAATAATAATTTAAATTATTTATTTGAAGGAAATGTATAATTGAGTAAGGAGTATAACACATGATGAATTTTAAGTTCAATCCATATTTTCAAGTTTTCTTTTTCTTTTAGGTCGTGGACAATTTGGAGAAATTCAGTTAGCTCAGGCAAGAGGGATTAAAGAGGGTTCTGATGTTGTTGTACTTGTAAAAGCACTTCAGCCAACTAGAGATGATATTATCCTTCAAGAATTCAAGCGAGAAATTGATCTCTTTACCAAACCCAGTCATCCAAATGTTGCAAAATTGATTGGTCTTTGCCGTGATGCTGAACCAAATTTGATGGTTCTGGAATACACTGACTGGGTAAGTACAGATGTTCACATAACATTCCCCCTTTACTTTTGTGGCAGTATGTAAGTTGATATATTCTGGATTTTTATTTACTTGCTCACTCCTGAGGAGTTACATTGTTGGTTTTGTCACATCTGTCAATTCTAAAGGCAGCTCCACACATTCACCATTTGCCGAAAAGCAAGCTACCACTCACTAAATCCCAAGCAACTGATGTGCTTGGTGAATATTGGCTTCTTTTGATGTGTCTAAAGTCTGACTCATGGTGGGTAGGGTGAGCACTGTGTATTTGCCTCTTGGCAAATAGCAATCAAGTTATCCACACTACTAGGGATTCAGTGAGCGGTCGCTCACTACTAGCCAAATGCCCTATGAGTGGAATAGGTTGGCCCTTAACTGTTGGGTAATTTTTTGAAAGTTAATTTTTTCTGCTTCCACTCTTTATTCCAATTTTATTAACAATAAAATTATCTGCAAAATTTCAGCCCAATTGGACAATTTCTAGGTGACCCTGAAACGCCTTTAAGTTTGAACTTAGCATTTGCAAGAAATAATTCTATTAAAAAGCAATTAACTATCCACCGAAACCATTTTCTCTTTCCCCCAATTTTTGTGACTCATTCAGGCATCCCCCGCAATTATTTCAAACTTTAGTGGTAGTATATAAGTTTATATATTCTGGATCAGAAATACTCAAGAGTTCTTTAAATAATTTCTTAAATAGCATGAAAAATTAAAGAAATATTAGATCTTTAATAGTCCCCGCATCTATAAGAGAAACATACAGAGGTTTTACAGTAATTTCTGTAGAACCAAAACCCTATTTGAACAAACAAACATTGTACATTATTTTTTCCTAAGAGAGGAGTTAGTTGCAGTTGCATAGTTTTTGTGATCTTCGGGAACCATTTGTAAAACAAATTATTGTGAGTTTGATCTTTTGTGAGGATGCTATTATAATCCTGAATGAATTTCTCTGTCCTCAATGTTATCCACAACCACCGTCTTCTCAAATTTTTACATTCCACTTTTACAAACAGGATCCTCCTTGCATATTGTAGGGTCTTCTCTGCAAAAATCTACAATAAAAAATCTAGTGAAGAAAAATTTAGCATACAAGTGTTACAAAATAGCAAACTCAATTTTTGTAGAGATATGTATCTCTTCAATGGTTTTTATTCTTTTCTCCCCTTCATCATTTTTGTCTGCTTCCAGAAAATCCTGATCCATTTTTGCTTTACCCTCTGTTGGGACATTCTCAAACAAGGTCACATGGGAACTAAGTACCAGAGATGTTTGAATTTTTTTTAAAACCTCTTTAAACCTCTGGATTATTTCTAATTACTATTAATTTAATTTTAATAGTTCTCCTTTCGTCGAAAACATGGGCAGCACTGAAAAACTAAATAACTTTTCTTAAATTTAAAAATAAAAAGTCAATTTAATGTATGCTACCTTTCAGCTCTACTGTATTCGATGTTACAAATTTTCTATCTTTAATTTAATTATTTAATAATGAAAATTTTCACATAGACTGGACGTCAACAGAACTAATTTTCAACTCTTCTATTAAATTTTCAAGTATTCTGCCAACCCTTAAGAATAACAAACATGAATAATATACATTGACACCTTATTTACATTACAATAATTTCAATTCATTCATAGATACTCTCCTACGATGCAGGGTAATGCATGTCCTATTATGGTCTTCTAATTTTTAAAATCTATTTTCTATTGCTAATCAATCTTGACTTGTCGTATTAATTTTTAACAAAAGTTTCAAATTAAGTTCAAAATTATTCATGTTCCTTTTCTGTGGCTATACCAAGATAATGTTTCACCAGCCCTCACTCCATTGCCACTCAGCGAATCTTCAATTCCATCCATTATTCAATACTTTCCACCTTCACTCCATAAACCATGCATTCGCCACATAAAACTTTCAATTCAAATCAAAATTTACGAAAAACTCACAATCTGCAATTCAGTGACCTATTTACTTCTCTGTCCAGTACTGTTCCTCCTGCTGTCTAAAATCATTATCCTAGTTTTTTTTTACTGCTAGCTAAAATGTAAACTGAAATACTCTCCTATTGCCTTGTCTGCATTGTCAACAGTTCCTTAGATTTTTTCTTTATTATTCATTTCATTAATAATATTATATGTCACTAATTTTTACTATTGTAAAAAATGATTTTTAATGATGATTCCATTCAGAATGTTGATATTTTTTTCCTTTAATACTTTTACAATTGAAATTCACCCCACAAAATCTTTTAACTCTGCCCTTTCAATTGTCTTTCTTATTATATTATCATCACGTTTTTGTAGCCAAAATATAAACTAATGTTTATGTAATTCAATTGCTCTCTAACTAATTAGCGGGCATCACATTTATTATTGTCACTTCTCTTTGTCTGGATTTAACTACAAAATGATTTATTTTCGTCTCTCACTCAACTATTTATTAGCCATGTCATATATTTACATATTAAAATTATATTGTTCACATGTCTGGATGGATCGCCACAATAGAAAATTGTGAAATGGAGCCTTTGTTGCTTCAAACCACATTCAGACAACAAACATTCAAAACTTCATGGTCAATGGTGGTCAACTTTTGAAAAGTTGAAAAATAAGGCCATCCTTGTGTTGAGCCACCTTAAACCTTTTTCAAGATACTGTTCCTTCCATCCTGTTGATTATATCATACCTATCCCCTCTCCCTACAAATTTTTTGTTCACCTGTACCTCTATTTTTCTCGATCTCAATTATTTGCACCATTTGTATTGTCTTTGTATCCATTAGCATCTTTGATTTTATTCTTTTTCATTGTCTACTCACATTCTTGTTAATTCAATACACAAATTATACTAATATTTACGCAATCATATTTTAGGGTGATTTGAAGCAGTTCTTGTTGGCAACTCGTGGAGGAGGAAAAGACAAAGACGCTTCTCCCCCCAGCAGCCGCCCTCGCCCTCCTCCACTCTCAGTGGCACAGATCATGAACATGGCGCTACAAGTGGCACAAGGAATGGACCATTTGGCCGGACTGCGGCTGGTACATAAGGATATGGCTGCTCGCAATTGCCTCATAACCAGTGGCCTAGCGGTGAAAGTGTCCTTGGTGGCCATTAGCAAAGATACTTACAGCAAAGAATATTTCTTGCATCACAATCAAGTAAGTCACATACACTCAAACCTCGTGAAATGGCCTCCCCAATTAAGCAGTAATTTTTCTCTGGAATTGTTTGATTTCCTCATAAGGCACATGTAAATATTTTCTCTTTTAAGCAGTCATCTGGTCCTATGCACATTTTGTCCATTAACCTGTAGTCGACAGTTACAACTTCCTTTTGGTAAAATGATTTTGAGATGTAACACTATAAAAAGTGGAACAGATGGATATTACTGCTCATTTGGCACCTTTCTGTGTCAACGCACATCAAAATATTCAGATTAATTAAATCAGTGTCATTTAGTTAAGGTGTGGATGAATGTCTGTTTTAGTTAACGATAAATAAGTTTCTTCAGAGTGTGAGTTGTGTCTTGATGCTTGAATCTACAAATGGGAAAATACAATACAACAAGATACATATCTATATATACAAAAAGTAAAAAAAATGAAAGGTTTTAAGAAAATCTTGTTTTTATTATTTTGTAATACTGCTTATACTTTACTCCTCATTACTGGAAAACCATTGTTTTTTTTAATTGTACATGACAATAATTAAAGAATTGAGTAGAAATTTCATTAGAAGAAAAAATAGCTATCATCAATACAGCATTGTAGTTGGAGAAAGACGCAAAAAAGCAAACTTTCATAATTTTCGAAAATTCAGATTTGTCAGTGGAAATTGGACCTATGCCGACTTTATAAGAGTATTACAAGGAAATGGCTACTATTCTTACAAGGAATTTAAAGAAAAAGCTTCGAGCTATTTTTGAGAAAATTTTGAGGGACCCAAGTAAAGTACCTCCCCAAAATCTAATTATTAAAAATCAAAGTTTGTTGGTTCGTGCTTAATGCACGTTCATCCAATTGCGATAAAATTTGGTCAACTTATTGCTTGCACTTGTGGGAAGGATATAGGAATAGTGTAATTATTGTAACTCCACTAGATGGCGCTGCAGCACAAAATGACGCTTCATTTAAATACAATTTCCAATACATCTAACTTCATTGTTGCTGAGCGTCTCCGTGTGACGTGGGTCAAGGCAAAGGACAGAAGGAGCGAGCAGTGCAAGAATAAGAGGAGAGGGAAAAAGAAAGATACGGAAAAAGATAGAGGAAGGGAAAAAGATGGATCGAAGAGGGAGAGGAAAGAGAGAAAGTGTGTGTGTGTGTGTGTGTGTGTGTGAGAGAGAGAGAGAGAGGGGGGGGAGGGAGAGAGAGGAAGAGGGAGGGGGAATGAGCTCTTAAATAAGAAAAAGAACAAGAAAATTTTCTTCAAATTTCAAACTATACATCCAAAATTATTTCTTCTGGAGTAGCAACGCGCCGGGTACTAGCTAGTTTACGATAAATAGCACGAGATGAAAATCAACGTGATCCAAAGAAAGTGGCGTCAAGTAAGAGAAGTTTGCTCGAAGTCGAAAAGATCGCGCGATACCAAGTTGACGCAAGTGCAGACACAAGAACAAGTGCTAAGCGCCCGAGATTTGTGTGACACAAGTTTCCAATGAACTTTTCGAGACGCGTCGCGAAAGGGAGGAAGAAACTGTTTCGTATGACTGTGAGAAACCTCTGGAAAGAGTCGGGGCAAGAGTGAACTGGTTCGGACAGTGTAAGTCCGGTTGAACTGAACAGTGTTTGATGCTAAGAACGAGCGCGATAACTTGGTATTTCCGTTTTGAGTGCCGCAAAAAGGGGAAGCCGCCATTGTGTTATAGTTTGGTCGTCGAGGCAAAAAAAGTACGAGAAGCCGCCATCTTGGCACACGTGAACAGTGACTGGCTCGTTTCGACGGCGCATACGCAATAGAACTACGTTCGCAAAGCGCAAGGAAGGTTGACAGTTAGTAAATTCGGATTCGCGTATCCGTTTGTTGTTGGCACGTGTCTGTTATTAGCAATGAATGGGAACGGTACTATACGTATCGAATCGCTCGGGCACGATAACTAAGACACTTTGAAAATGCAAATGAAGGCCCTATTAGTGAAGTATGCTGACGGAAATCAACGCAGCGGCCATTCGAGGGTGGGCAAGCAACGAGAAGGCAAAGGCCGATTTGATTCTGTCAATTGGTGCAAGTCAACTAAAACTGGTGAAGAATTGTAAAACTTCGCGCGCATTATGGTCGAAGCTCGAGGACGCCCGCGTCAAAAGGGCCCACCCGAAAAGTGAAGGTACTAAAGAACCTAACCTTAAAGAAAATGAACAATGGAGACGTTCACAAACACTTGCGCGATTCTTTTGATTCTGTCGATAGGCTGGCGAAAATGGATGTGACAATCAACGACGGTTTACTCGCAACCATGTTGCTGTATAGCTTGTCATCAAGCTATGTGACATCCCGAGTGACGATCAAAAATCGCGAAACATTGCCAACGTCTGACAGTCTGAGGACAAAGATCGCCGAGAAATATAAAGCGAGGAAGAATTCTAACACTTCGAATTCGAATCAAGGATCCGTGTACGTTCAGAAAAAAAACAGCAATCGAAGAACAAGAAGGAGAAATCAAGTCAAACCAGACAGAAAAGACGTTCAACTACAAATGTTTCAAATGATACGAACAGGGACACAAGTCGTCGGAATGTCTGCTTAAAAGGAAGAGCAGCTACGGTTCAGCTAACGCGGTTCGCCTGTCAGGTCAGGGGCGCTATTATAAACATGAAAATATTCGTTTATATTAATGCTTTAAGTTAATTGTGCTGCAATTATGTACATTGTCAATTTTGTAAATTATTTGATTCTTATTGAATGTTATTAATTAGATTAGTTGAACCCAGAGGTGACGATTATCATTAATATTTAAACGGTCCGGACGGTTAATTCAACGATGCATTCAACATTTCTCGGTGAATCTTATATCGAAAGTGTTTATTATTTATTATGGTCACACATCTTTATCAGTATTTATAGGATTCATGTTTAAAATCTACATTAATAAAAAGGCAGTCTTGGGTTTCTGGCAAAATGGAAAGTACGAGTATTAATAATTTTATTTATATCTATAGTGAATAATAAACGCGAAATACTCTTTCTTTTTACTTTCTCGCTACCTCTTTCGCAGTAGAGAGAAAGTAATGTAATTCTGCGCGAAAAAACGGCGAATTTTCGCCAGAAAACCCCTTATTACAAGACCCTGGTAACGAAAAAGTGAATAAATCTAGTTGCTAAATTTAGGGGGGAAATCCTCTATAGTGCGATTTTATAAAGCTGCGCCTCAAGGCCCGTCTTCACAGTGACATTCTGTCACTGCATTTCGCGTTTTATTGCGGCCGTGACGCATGACGCATGATGGAAGCAGTACTTGATAGCAGTGCTCGAATGACGGCAAATCGTCTGTCCGTCTGTGTGTGAACAACGCTAGGGCTACACCGTTCAGCTGGTTTTCTCTAAAATAGATATATCCCAATCGAACTGGCTGATGTCGCGGCCCCATTAATTTGAAACCGATTTTTTATTTTGGGGAATACTTTACATGAAGCCCTTGGGACATTTTCTAAAAATTGGCTCCAACCTTTTTGATTAAATTTATGTTGAATAATGTGAAGGACGTTTAAGAGAATGGTGCAGGGCTCATGTTCGTGAAAAACCCTGATTTTTCGAAAATTGTAAAAGTTCAATTTTTTTTCAAAATCTTACTACAACTAAAATATTAAAGATAGAATTTCTTCTTTTAATGATACGTTCCTTAAAGATAGATTTTGAAATTTTTGATTTATAAAATATATAAAATAAAAATATTTTAAATAAAAGCAAAATATAACTGAAAGAGAATTTATTAATAAGGAATTTTCATACAAACGCTGAACATTATCCCGCGCGTTTTATAATATTGAACTAAAGTGCATCAATTTATTAGTGTTTGTTATTAGGTCAGCTTAATAAAATTATTGTTTGCTTAATTATTATAAAATTCAAAATCGAAATGAAAAGCATGATTAAATAAATTAAAAAAAAATATTTGTCTCAAGATGGGGGGGGGGGGCAATTGCTCCATCTTACTAACCCATCCCCCCCCGAAACCCGCGTTTGGGAGAGGTGAAGATTCATGTGTCAGAACGAGAGCTGTGTAACCGTGAGTGACTGGTGCCTTGACAGCGGTCGCTCTTCACACCTTTGTTGAGATTTTAGTCTGTTCACGGAGATCGATAACCGCCAAACTGGTCAGGAGAAGTTGGCCAACGATTGATGATTGATTGTTAGTGATTCCGAGGACGTTAACTACGGAGGTCATTGGTAAGTAATAGTGTAGTGTATGCTTTCTCGTCGTGAGGTTGCGGCGATCTTCCTCTGCTAGGTGGCGAGATCCGACGCCGACCTACCATAGATTGCGGCGTTTTACTCAACCACGTATCTCCCACCAGCGGAACACCGCCCCAGGCGGGACAAGGTCTATGCTCACGACCAGTTTCCCGGCATGTGTGGTAGGGTAAGTGTGTATGAAAGGGGTTAGGATAGGACAAGGAAGAGGAAGGTTAGATAGCGCGCGAAGGGTAGATAGGTCCGTGGCCCGTTTGTTAGGGTACTGCTCCGGCATTCGCCTAGTGTTGATTGGAGAAACCACGGAAAACTACTAATCAGAGCAGCCGGCGGCTAGAATTCTCCTCCAGACAGCGACTGAACGCGACCTAGCTGACGAACTAGTGTCCAAAATCCTGCAGCTGTCGGAACTAGAACCTAGGATTTCCCGGCCAGAGGCACTGCTGTGACATCAGTTGATGCACCAAGCCACCTCTGCCGATTGGTCAAAGATGCTTCTGCCGAAATCAAAGGAGAGGCACGACCGTGATCAAGAAGAAAACGCCAGGTGATTTATGTGACGTGAAGGTGCTTGATACGCTGCAGGTCCCTAATTTGCGATATAACCTCTTATCAGTCACACTGACAAGGGATACCAGGTGATATTCGGTTAGTATCAAGGTGAAATATTGGACGAACGACTCGAGACCAAAGTGATCGCCAAACGAGTTGACGACCTTTATTACGTCAAAGGTGAATCCTCTGAAAGTTGTAAAATTGGATTTCTATAGAAAAGGAGGTTGAACAAAAGAACCCTCTTCGAAGCTGGCACAGAAGGATAGGTCACTTTAACTTTCCGGATCTCGTTCACGCATCGAAGGCCGGCGCCATACGAGTCGTCGCACTCATCAACAGGTCGCGAAGATGCAGACCGTGACATTTGCCTCAAGGGGAAGACGGTGAGGCCATAATTCCCAAAAGAAACCGATCGAAGGACGATTAAGTTGGAGCTCATACACAGATCGCGCGTTCCTCCAACGGGATATCAGCGTACGTAATTACATACATCGATGGTTTTTCAAGATGGATCGAAAAACGATTCTTGAAAAACAAAACTCAAGTTCTCAAAGAATTTCAAGGCTTTTGTCGAGAACAAGAGATGTCAAAAAATAAACGAGATTGTCTGATAACGGACGCGAGTGTATAAATGCAGAATTTTGATATTTTCTGAAGTCGGGGGGGGGAGGCATTAAACATCGACTCACGGCTCCATACACATAGCAGAAGAACAGGGAAATGGCTCGTTGCTTGGAAATCCAATCTGGTGTGTCTTCGTAGTTCTGGACTGGAACAATTTCTATGGCGTGTCACATCATAAATCGATGTTCAGCGAAGAAGATCGAAAAGAAGACACCTTACAAGCTTTGGAACGATTAAGTCCCAAACTTCAGCTATTTTCGAGATTTTGGATGCAGGGGTTTTATTCTAAACAAGACACCAAAAAGGGGAATCTGGATGACAGAGCGAAGGAAGCAATCTTCGCTCGGTATGCCGAGCAATCGATGGCGTATAGACTTTAGCTGCCAGAGGCAAGAAAAGAATAAGTAACCAGGCACGTAAGGTTCTTCGAAAGCGACGCTATGCCTGCTGTCAGTGTTGTTGAGCGAGACTGGTTCGACGCGGATCTCGTCAGATCGCCCGCCGAACAGGTCGCTCCCCATCGCGAAGACCCGGCCCTGACCGAGTCGAGCGACGAGGGAGACCCCTGTCGAGAAGGTGGAGACCAAGGCAAACGTCGCGGGCGTGCAAGAACCATCCGAACGGAACGTCCAGGGCCACCACGCAAGGAGTCTACTGGGCGCGTGAGCGTGGATATGGTGATCTCAGACGCGGAGGCGTCCACGTTGGAGGCAATGTCTGGACCCGACTCCCCCGAGTGGAAGACCGCGATGGCTTCGGATATGGACCCTGGCATCTACGTATTCTGGAGTCGTTATTTCTTGGCGCGTGAGGTCCGGTCTTCACGATGGAATATCTCGCGGCATTTCGCGACATTACAGAGGAAGACGCGAAATGTCGTGAGATATTCCATCGTGAAGACAGGCCTCGCGCGGCAATAAATAAAAACCCAAGTATAAGGGATGCTGGGACTTATTCGAGTGAAATACGAAAACTGTAAAGGGACTGAAGCTGAGACTCGTGTGATCGTGTCTTAAGGTTGTGAATCAGTTGTGGTTCGTGGGGAAGTATTGAAATGAAACTAGTACGACCCACAACTCGGCAGTGTGGCATTCGACCGGTGGCGCCATTGCGACCTTTGATGCACCCACTAGGTTTTTGCTTTGGCAGCAGTTACCAGACTCGTTCCTAAACGTTGTACGAGCAACGTTTCGTGAGCTGTTGGATCATGTTTGCTTTATCCCTTGATGGGTCTCTTCGAACTGTAGACTTCCGGTGAGTTTTTATTTTGGGGGGTTGACTTCTCTCCCCCGAACGAGCCCGGGGGTCGGAAGTCTGGGTTGTTTTGTCCGTGGAGAGAAGAGTTGTTTTAGTAGGGTTTTGGATGGCGGTGGTGGGAAAGGGGAGGGGCAGGAATCGAAGAGGTTGGGGAGGGGTGAGAAAAGAGGCGGCGGAGTTGTCGACGGCGTCTTCAGCTGTGTCAGTACGAATAACGTCAAGTCTTTGTACCTCGTTGTGTTTAATTTGGCGTTTTTTTACTTAGTGGTGCATTTTTATTCAGACTAGAATACCTATTTCCAGATAATCCAACAACTAGAGGTGCTACAGAATGGCAGAGACTTCACCGTATCAGTTTTCTATTTCCTTTGGTGTCGGCTACCTGTTCGGACTTACCACATTCTCTTGCCAGCTGCAATCTTTCTCCGCCCAAAGTACATTTTTTTGAAATTTTCTCAGTTTTTCTGTTTCTGATTAGTAGAATCGCAATATTATCTTAAGAACATTAAAGACCGGAAAATCCTCTTCCTAAATAACAATTTTCTTTCAAGAATTTCAAGCCGTGTTTAAGGAAATGGCGTTTAAGTGCTGCTATAAGTGCGAAATACCCCAAAATGAACTTTATGTCATATTAAAGACTGCAATTAGCACTCTCCGTTCAAAAAGTTTTCAAGAAACTTTATATGACATTATTTAAAGCACTTGTACTCGTAAATATAATGTGCACATATCTTCGCTAATGTAAATATTAACGACGTGAGAGAGGTAAAAAACTACAATATTGTAATTTTTTTAAAACAAAAGAATGGAGCAATATGTCGTTTATGTCATCTTATTGGGTACATTGAGCATTATACCTACTAAAAGTTTAAAGAAAAATTGTGACACCGTTTTTGACAAAATATTTTTGTTATTTTTAAATATATTGCACGCAGTATTATGCAAAAACTACTAAAATTTTCAAAAAATGTACGTGACCTTAATGAAAGAATTATCTATGGAGAACAAATTTTATTTGTATGCAAAAAAATATCTATCTTCAATTTTGTTGTTGTAGGAAGCGCCTGAAAAAATTAAAAATTTTAGGAAATACAGACTAAATCTTGAAAATCGGACCTATGCCAGTTTTATAAGTGTATTTCGCTCTATTCGTAGAAGAAATTTAAAGAAAAAAATTGGAGCTGATTTGGAGATTTTTTGAAAATGTCCGGGCAGCTTCATGTAAATGGAAGAAAGATTTTCAAACTCGCCCCTCCTCGAGTCGAGCGAGATGGACAGGGTTTTATTTTTTAATTTGGAAAACATCCTACGTATGGTTTAGGCGCTAATGGTATACACAGACGGATGGACGGACGGACAGACGGACGGCCACTTTGAAAAAAAACACTTTTTCGGTATCAGGAGACATCAAAATAGCGTTCACGATATTTCATACATTGCATTCAGCTCTATTCGTACAAAAAGTTTGAAGAAACAATTTGGAGCCGTTTTTTAGAAAATGTTTTTAATATTGCCCATATTTCAACAAAAATTGCTAGGAAGCTATTAATTTAAAAAATACATGACATTAATGAAAAAAACTAATTAAGGAGACCATATTTCATTTGAAAAAAAATCTCTCTTTTCAGTATTGTAGTTGTAAGAAGACCTTAGGAAAATTGAAAATCGAAAATTCAGAGTTAACAGTGAAAATCAGATCTGTAAGTGTGCTCCTCTCTATTCTCAAAAGAAATTTAAAGAAAAACATTTTTGGACATTTGTGTGAAGATATTGAAAATGTTCTATGGCTTTGTGTAAAATATCCCCATAATATAAACAATGCTTTTCAAAATCTCAGAGCTTTAAGTCAAACCTCTTTGATTGGGGAATATTCATTTTAGAAAAAAAAATTAGGTGCTAGTGTTGTTCACAGATAGACTGATGGACGTTTTGCCGTAAACCAAGTTTTCAGTATTAAGAACCCAAAAATCGTAGATTCTGATTGCACAACGTGTTAGAGCAAAAAATTTACATATTGGAACCAGATTTATCCTCTTTTTCTGTATACCCACAATATGAGTTTTTCTTGCCTTTTCTTGCCCTTTTCTTGAAAAATCGCTATTTTCTTGCCTTCTTACTCTATACTATAAAAAAAAATAAGTATATTACTATAAGTAATATACGAATGCACATGAGAAAGTGAAAATAATGTGTGACAAGGGGGAAGATTATGAAGATATTATGAAGACAGATTTTTTACATCAGATGGATAGATATAAGTCTACCCTGGTGAGGTTTTCATATCTAAAGGAGAGGACCAATTATTGCTTCACTACTGCTGTCACAGCTGCCTGCACCACTATGGGCACTGTGATTGTGAAAGTTTATAGAGTATATAATTGAATTCATCAATAGCTGAGAAATAACTTGACCTTTTTCATTCCATCACATTAACTTAATAAAAATCCATTAAAAATAGTTGTGGCTTAAACTGAAATTCCCCAAAGGTGCACTCTTCCTTGATTCCCCTGAATTTTTTATGTCAGAGACACCCATGTTTGTTTTTAATGGACAATTCAATGAGAAATGTTCCTTGTTTTTAACTGCTATTATTTTGTTTTAGCTCATTCCATTACGTTGGCTGCCTGCTGAAGCAGTGTTAGAAGATGATTTTTCAACGAAGTCAGATGTTTATATGTGGGCTGTTTTGGTGTGGGAATTATTTCACCAGGGAGAGCTACCTTTTGTGAAGATGTCTGATGATGCTGTTCTAGCAGCAATGAAACGTCATGAATTAGCCCTTAAACCACATAAGGCTGCGCCTGAAGCACTTCAGTCTCTACTTAATTCTTGCTGGGCTGAAAGCCCTCGTGACCGCCCAACGTTTTCTCAAGTTACAACTAGTTTGACAGATATAACTGGTGAAAACACCATTTGATCTTCTTAATTTGTGTCTGTATCAATGATACTGGAAGATTGCTAATTGAATTAAGAAAGCCTTTAAGGTTTAATTATTTAATTCATGATCTACTGATTTGTGGCACTTGCCATAGCCTATTTGTCCAGAGTATATAACAATAGGCTTAGGATGAGATTTTTGCTTGTTACTCAGTGTCGTATATTTATTTCAAAATGAAATTACTATCAACCATGTTGATAACTGTGGAATCTATAATTAAGAATTGGTGAGTTGAACACATTGATTGCTTTAAAGTGTTTTCTTGTCAAATGTGTAATATGTAATAGTGACTGAATTGTATTTCATTCCACGTGAGGTAATTTAAGTTTTAGTACTATGTGTGATGTAAGTTTTGACTTGTGCAAGAGCAGGGTGTATGTACATATAAATGAATATTTATTGGTAGCTTTGCTGAGTATTTTTGATATTGCTAAAGCAACTAGTGACTTTTTCTTCCCAGCTGAGCAAGTGACATTTCCTCAGAGGCCTAAAGTCCTCCAGATGTATCTAGCATTTCATGTAATGCAACAGAGATAGAGGAGTATCATATTTTATATGGTTATTTTAAGCATATATGATGTGTAATGAAGTACAATTCAAAGTTTATGTGTACAATACAGAGTTGTATATTACTATATTTAATTAAACTATGCATATCATAGTTTTGGATGTGGAACTTTGTAGCAGTGTTTTTCAATATGTATTCTGTATGAGCCAGACAACTACAGAATGTTCATAATTCATATTATTTATTTCATATTGATTGTGAAATTTTGTTTATAGTACATTTAGTATGATACAGATTTCCAGGAATTATTACTTTGGTGATATATTACTTGGTGAATTATTACTTTAAAGATAATATTTTAAAATTAATGGGCTCAATGATTTAAAATAACTCTACAAAGTTGTTAAATTCTGGCCTCATGAGGGTGTAATACTGAAACAAAATTATATTGTAGAGTAGAATAGATAAGATGTTTATGATCAAAGGGTGAAATGTGTCATACATTTAGTGTTCTCTCAAACAAATTAAAATTGACACAAAAACATTTTTATTTATTATGCTTGGTGAATGTAATTGAACATGAAGCATTAGATAATATTGACCCATAAGTGAGAATGGGGCTTAGAAATTACTAAGGGCTTCAAGAATTCATTGTTTAATGTTTGTAACATGATTTCATTATGACAAATTTCCATTTTTCAATAGAAATATTTTCCATACTGTTCATTGTAGAATTTTTCAGTTCATTAGCAAACTAAGAGCTTCTTTCTACGAAAATTCATATTATTCATGTGGATACCACCTAAATGTAAGATTATCATGTGTATTTCATTTTCATTATTGAACACATTGTTTCTCTCATCTTCAAAACTTAGTTTGAATAAGTACAATAATGTCCTAAAAAATGTTTTTGTTAATTGAAGTAAGGGATCAACATTTTTTATACTTCTTAACCAACAAATTTCAAAGGCCATTATGACGTTCAAAATCTTGAAAATATCTTGTCTTGGTTCAAGAGACTTAACTACACAAGACTGAGTTTCTACATCATTCATTTTTGTATTATCTTTAAGATAGTTAACACATCAGACCTGTAAAATTTCTCATTTATATAATTATTGAAAATTTGCCTCATATTTGTTTTAGATAAAAATGCTAAAATGCATAGAACCTGTACTTTTACAGCATTTGCAGAATGTTGAAAATGATGAAGGATTCCCAAATTTTTACTATAAATTTTTAATCTGACTGTAAACACCAGAAAATTTGCATTCTTATAAACTCTTTATTCCATGCACAAATTATTATTTATAGTCTCCATTTTATAATGATGCATATTCTAAACTAGCAAATTTTTCTAAAAAAGTCTTTCTACTCTACTTTTTTACATACAAGAACTTTGTACATTTTGCATTATTTTCTAATATTTCTTGTATTTGCATGCATGAATTATCTTTCTGAAAATGTTCAGTCATTTGAGATGTATGCTTTTCTTCTGAGTTGGATGTGTAAACAATGTACTTTTTGTAATGTAGTTATTACTCCTAGTGTTAATACATGTCTTATAGTGCAAGAGATCTGATATCAAAGAGTGTGAGGTTGGTCAGAGGGATAAAGTGGAATCTCATTTAAGCTAAAATTAAACATTTGTGCACTTAATACATTTTTAACAATTTTACTTAATTGACTATGTTAGATTTTTTCTTAAAGCTTTCTTAGTTCATTATAAAAGTTTAAATCCTATGTTTGAACTTAATGAAAACATTCAAAACAATGTGTATGAGCAAGAAATTTTAATTTACCTTACAAGGTTCAACTATAGCAGTCATATATTTGTCCTTGTAATAAAATAATTTCACCATGTTAAGTGCATAACATGTATTATTTGAAAAGAGAAAAAATGTCTTAAACATGTTCTTGCAATATCACTAATTGGGGCACCCAAAGAAAACAAGAGGCCAGTAGATCTGTATAGGCCCCATATATCAAACAAAAGTTGCACCCCTCGGTTACGTGAACAGAATTAATTTCTCCCTTGAACAGAAATAGCATGCAGTTAATAATCTGAATTAGAAGTTAACACATTTTTCAAATTTATTTCAAACGAAACAAAATATTCATTATTTCTAGGCTGTCCGGTTGACGCCGCGTCGTTGGCAGATAGGCCGACGTTTCGCCTGTCATGTCGCAGGCTTCTTCAGGGTACTGACATAGTAAAGCTCCGCCTCCGGTGTTATATCTTATTCAGCTAGTAGTAATGGACTCGAGCCGCGGAAGCCTACGTGAAACAAAATGTTCGCTGGCCGAATTTAGTTGGGGTCTGGGGCAGGGTGTCTCAGCTGCTCCCTCCCCCGGGCCCTTCTGGGTGCTCCTGATTGAGGCCCTTCTACACGGTACTTTTTCATGCAGATTCTCATACAGAAACTTCAAGATCCCAAACTAGAATTTTGAAAGTTGTGTATACACGACCTGCTCCATGATGGAATCTTTCCTCCATGGTCTGCACGTTACTTTGCCGTACGATGTCTCTTATACGTCGATAGGGGCTCTGCCGGCACACTAATGAATTCCTGGATAGCGCCGTACAAGTACATTCATTTTTGACATTTGTGTACGTGCTTTCTAAACTTATTTGTTAATACTTTTTAATCAAGTATTAATGAAACATGGGGCGGGGGATAGAAAGGTTGTCATCGTCGCAACAAGCATGGTTGTCGCTGTGAAGGCTTTAAAGTGCGCAGAGCTTTAGAGAGACCCATGAGATATTCCATCGTGATGTTAGGCTCTGACGCACCATGTTATAAAACCCAATTATAAATAAGTCTTAACTGCATTTCCGAGGTGCAGTGAATAAATTTCACAGAAAATCGGAGACCTCGAACCCGTCACGGCAATACAAAAATCTCACGAATTGCACTTAACCACAGCCATCCTATACTAGTGGGAGACGACCATGACCATGACCATGGCGTTTTCTAATAGAGGATGGCCACGACTTATCTAAACCACAAAATTGGAAAGAATTGACGATTCCCACAGTAAAGAAAGCCGTCATACTTCGATTAAGTCCGTTGACACTTGTCGGCTGCGAGGCTGCCATCCAATCGGGAGCTTCAATGTTACTGTAGTGTTACAGCTGACTAGTGTAAACGGACTTGATGTTTGAATTGAAGTACAGTGATACTTCGTACAGCCTGCCTCTAGAAGCACTGGAGCCAAACTGTACATTTTCTGTATAAAAAAAATTGAACGTGCTCGGAAGTTTTCATGTCGAAATTGTGTAGTATGGACACTTTGTATACGTGCAATCCGCACGAAAATTCTACAGTGTAAAACGGCCTATGAAAATGTTTTTAATTGTACCTTTCTCTCCTAACAATAGGTTTGTTCCTTAAAAACACTTTCACCTTGTTCTTTGTACAAACATAAGTGTATTATTTAATTTTCTTTTCTTGTTAAATGTTCAAATTGAGGGAACGTTTCCCTTCTAGTCATGTATTATTGTGAACTAAAAGAAAGTATTGTAGCCTTTTGATACACTACTTAATATCACCATATACAGACATTTGGTGATGAAATAAACTCTTTGTAAGACAAGTGTAAATAATTTTGTATACATAATTCAATGTGTTTTTGGCTACTGATGCCAGTGCTTGCTTGTAAGTTCAGAGCATTCAGGTTGAGTGCATCAGCAGAAATAAAACACCACCATTTACTACTGTAATGGCTTTTATTTACACTATATGTTGCATTATTCCACACCCGTTCTAACTTCATTCCAACTGACAAGAATGTTATTTATGCCTTAGTATAGTGAAAATTATGTAATGCTGGGAAAAATCGATTTCGAGATTTTAACGGAAATACTCGTTTTGGGGTCCTTGACACTGAAAAAGTGGTTATTTTCAAAACGTCAGTCTACCCGTCTGTGAACACTACTAGCGCCCAAACCATACGTAACATTCTTTCCAATTTGAAAAACTCCTGTCCATCTTGCTCGAGTCGAAGATTTGAAATTTTGAAAAACATTCCTTAAAATTCAGTGGTACAGGGCTTACAGGGGTAAAATTAATGTAAATTAAGCCCTCCGGAAATTTTCTAATTTTTTTCAAAAACGGCTCCAATTTTTTTCTTTAAGTTTCTGAAAGTTAACTCTAAATTTTAACTCTTAATTTTTACGGTTAACTCTAAATTTTTAAAATTTCAGAAGTTTGAATTTTTTTCAGTGCCTTCCAACAACTACATAATTAAAGATAGAGATTTTTCCTTCGAATGAAATTTGTTCCGAAATGTCAGACTTTCTCGTATTAGTTTCCTATTTTGTTTGGTCTGGGCTAGCTATTCAAACGTCCCACATACTCAAGGCCTCGGATTCCCAATAGCAGAACCGAAATATCATTTTAAGAATATTAATGAAGAGTAAACCCTCGTCCTAAGTGGCATATTTCATTGAGAAATGTGGGGTAATTTTTAAGAAAAAGGCGTTTAACCTTTACTGTAAATGTGAAATTTGAAGCTTTTTCACAGAAAAGGTTTGAGTTTTCTAACAACTTTATTTGAAGCACATTAACTCACAAACGAAAAAGTGTTTACACATGACTAGGAATGTGGATATTAAAGGTGAGGGAGATATTTATAAACTAGTGGTGATACAAATGGCACAGACTTTTCCGTATTATTTTTCTATTTTCATTGCTCAGGGCTAGCTATTCTAACTTGCCCCATCATTTTGCCAGCGGCCATCTGTCGCCGCCCAAAATACATTTTTTTCTGCGTATTCTTGGCTATCCGCGATGAGCCGCGCCTCGGTCAATTGTACTGACGTTTCGGCCATCTTGCTGTGGCCTTGTTCAGAGCTATACAGTATAGCAGTACAAGGACACACTTGGGTTAATTCCGAATAGAGTTCTGAGACTCATAGCTCACCCTCCGTTTCGGAAACGACTGAAAGTAATGAGGAAGGAACTTCGAGTCCTTCACTCAATGCTTGAGACGGCTATTATTCAATGAAGCCTACCAAGCCTTTCAATCAGACGAAGCTCCAGTTACGCTAAAAAAATTTCAGAAACATGTCCTTACCATAGGGCATAGACGACAAGCTCTCCCCGTAGACATACTAAGGGCATAGAGGGAAACACACTCTAAAATGTCATAGTCACAAATATGTCTTAACAAATCGCCAAAACTGGCAAACGACTAAGGTCCGTCGCGAACCTACACAAACAAATTACACCTAGCAGTAAAACGCAAAAGGCATGTGTATTGCAATTATGATCAAGTATCCTCTGATCAATACGATCATGATGCGATCGAACCACCACACCGACCTTCGGTTACGCCGAAAAAAAAAAGCGAAGGGAGATTTTGTCGTCCCATCATAGTGCGAGCTACGCGAGTGCAAGTGTTCAGTGACTACGCTGCCGGCCACTATTGCGGACTTCTCTTTTGGATAAACAAATTTAATTTTACAATAAAATATTTTCTGCTGTATAGCTGTTTTCATACAATTAAACCATCAAAAATAAAAATAATATTTATTTTAACAATGATGTATAATGCATTAGTTTACATTTATATTCTATAATTTTATAAAGTACATGGCATTTTTAAAAAGTAAAAAGTACAATTTCAAAAATCATCTGTAACAAGTAATGTAACTTTAGCTTCCGAGTCAATGACCCTCAGATAGGATTTTGTCGTTTCCCTGATCCATTGAGTGATGGCTGAAATTGCCCTTATTTTGCTTTTGGTAGCTTCACTATGTGCGTATGTAGTTGAGGTTTCCTTTTGCTTGTTGTGGTAGGAGTAGAACAGGTTGTATGGTTTACTATTTTCCTATGTATACTAACAACTCAATTCTGAAGTTTATTTACAAATGGAAATAAGTTTTCTATAACTCTGGAACGAAAATGTCAATTTTGAAATGTTACTAACCTTGTTTTGTTGGAACTTTTATTTATCATTCAACTATTTAGGGTTAAAATGTGGGAAGGTATTCCAGAGCTCAGGAAAATGTTTGCAGTTGGAACTTCTCCCCATGCGTTACATACAGTTTTGTTCTGTTAATTTACATAATAAATCAAATCCTGAAGCAGAAAATATTGAACGTAAAATGCAGAGAAGAAATAAGCGAGCTTTCTGCAGTTCTTTGTCGTGTACATAATCTCTCGTATCGCCTCTTTAAAATGCGATTATACCCGACTTCTACCGAGGGGTTTCATAGTTCTTTTTCTGACAGAAGCGAGAAACGGTCGGCACGTGCTCGACTGGATGCACCTGAGTCCTTTGGCAACCAACTTCCTCGGAATCCACGGCAGTTGCCTGCCGCCTTCAGTCGTACAGTGCTGTTTCCGTTTCATCTAAGCGTATCATTGAGGCGCGAATAGTTGTAAGTCCGTTACGGTGCGTTACACTGTGGTTACAGTGGTGTGTGTGTAACTATCTTTTTTTCAATTCATAAATTTAGTATTTTATATTCGTGAATAATTTTAAAAAGAAATGGCGGGTTTTAAATTCATTTTCCCAACTTTACACTTTTAAAACTTTTTAAACTTTCGGTTTTTGTACATTTCAATACTATGTATCTCTTAATTCGAAGTCTCAGTATGCAGGGTTTAATGCAAGGCGTGATATTTATTTTTCATCTCTTTAGTAAACTGACGTGAATAATGTTTTGGTGACAATACGTTTTGTTTCGAATATTGTATCTTAATAGGAGTGTTAGACGGTTATGCCATTGCAAGCGCGCCTTCTACAGAGAAGATTGTTTGCCATAACACTCTCTGCAAACAGGTAATTGTACGTCACGTACAACATTGAATGTTTATATCCATGAACAAATATTGAAGTTTGATTATTCCGTGTTACCGAGCGCTTCAACTGCCATGTTCGTCCTGTAAGTGCATTGCATGTTTATATCACGGGGGTGGCGGTTGCCCAGCTGGATGATAAGATCCAACACCGACCCACACGCCGGCTTGCGGAGGGCTTTCCTCAACCAGGTATCTCACACCATCGGGGCAAGTTATATGCTCCCCACATATGAAGTAATGTGCATGTAAGTGTGTGTGTGTGTGTAAGTAAGGAGTGAGGATAGAACAAGGAAGAAGAAGGAAAGATCTCTCGCGGTCCGTGGCCCGTTTGTTTTGCTACTGCTCCAGCATTCTTCATGTACTGATCGGAGAAATCATGGAAAACTACCGAGAGCAGCATAGAATTCCAATATAAACTGGGGCTGAATTCAACCTTGCTTCCTAAGTAGGATTGAAAATCCTGCTCGAATCCTAGGACCTCCGGGTCAGAGGCTCTGCAGTTCACACCAATATCGTTGTATTATAATCTATAATTTGATGTTTCCGACATAGTTTCTGCCGCTTCTGAACGTAAAAGCGAATATTTAAATCAATATTTTAAGTAAATAAAGTATCTTTCGGTTTATTCAATAACTAATGACGCTACAACAGCATATACTCTCTCATATTGTTAGCAACGGTTACATAATACTAGTAAAACGTGGCGTCGACGACACTAAAATGCTCAAATATGTTCTTTACGTATCTGGCTTTGGACTTATCAATAAATCTTAAGTAGTGATAATTGTTACACCTGGGGTAAAAGTTTCCTACACCCAATGCCTTGTTGTGTTACTCCATCGGGATATAACTGTCGATTGCAATTCAATTATAATCTCCGTATAAAATAGTGCAGTTTTGTTAGAGTTAAATTTCAGGTACAACCACATTTTTTACGCTTTTTTCGCTAATATACACAAAATGGCATATTGCATTTGCATCAAATGCAAAATCCAAAATAATCATTCCCAATTGTTCCGATATTCTGTCGTTTGATTTAAAACTTCAATGATTTCTCCCCCTAATTTTGAAGAATTAAAAATAACAATGTAATTTGTTCACTCTTCACTTTTCCCCTCCTAAATCCATTACATTTTATTGTTTTTTTTGTTTGTTCTTTTTTTGTGATAAATCAAATCAAGTCAACTGCAATTTCTCTTATTAATCTTTTATGCAATCTAGCTGTATGCGAATCTAACATAAATGACGATACTTTGACGTATTGATAAAAGCGTTAGTTATTTAAATAAATTGGAATGTTGGTCACATCATTTGAACGTACTTTCCACTTACAAATAAGTGAAAGTGCGAGGCGACCATAACGTCTTCTTCTCTAGCCAATCAGTCTAATACAGCAGGCCTGCCCTTGATACGTTATGATCATACCAACCTCGTTCGAGTGTTTGCGTGTTAGTTGCGTGCATCAGGGATGGTTTTATTTCCTCGTCCCCCCCCCAATTTATATTTAACATGCTTGTTTTCGATTTTTCTGGATGTTATTTGAAAGATTATATGTGATTATTAATCGTTGTCCTGTCGTTGATAATTTGGATCATCATTTACTAAAATTGTGTCTTAACCTAATTCAGAAAACCACAAGTTGCTATGCGCCAGACTGCAAAAACATTATTTATTACTGGTGTTATCTTGTTTTTGCAAAAATCCAGTGAAAGGAACGATTCGGATAATCGATGACTTACTCAAAATTTGCTGATGCCATAGAACTTTCACTCACATTCGATATAGTAGATGTTGAAACGAGATGATGCAACTTGATTATGCTTCCAGAAA